AAGTACTATTGGAGGAAGCTTTCACCGCCTTTAAGTTTTTATAACTAAAATAATCTTCACCGTTTTGGTGAGAGTATTTAAAGAAGTAAAAAGATAAGATTTTATCTTATCATTTCAAATTGAAGTCTGTTCAAAAGAGAAAGAAAGCTTGCGGCGGTGAAAGGTGTTCTTGAAGAATCTGAGCTAAGAATAAGCTTTTGCTGTGTGTTTATCTTCAAGAAATCTGTTTGATAAGGTGAGTTTTAAACTACTGTTGAGTATAAAGTGTGAGTTTTCTTTTAAAACTACCTTTGCTTATAAACTATGAGTTTTATTGTTGATTATACGCTATGAGTTATGATGTTGGTTTTGAAGAAAAGATGGTAGAACTATTTTAATAGTTTTAAAGGTGTTACTGTTATTATTGGAAAGATAAAGAAAAGTTTGGTTCTTTAAATCAGTTTCGGAAATGATATCCTGTTTTGAGGATTTAAATAAAATTTGATGTTTTGGAAAATCTTTGAAAGACAAGATTGTTTCTGAGTTTGAAAAGGTTTTTTATGGATAAAACTATGAATGAGGATTCATAAGATGGTTGTGATTGCGGTCCTTCATCCGAACTAGTTTATAGATTTTGAAGAAGAAATAAGGGTGGCATATCAAGGAAAGGCGTCTTTTGGAATAAGGGTGGCATATCAAGGAGAGGTGTCTTTTGGAATAAGGGTGGCATATCAAGRAGAKGTGTCTTTTGGAATAAGGGTGGCATATCAAGGAGAGGTGTACCTTTGGATATAAGGGTGGCAATTGTATGTGGATATTATAGCTCTTGCTATTATGTCTTTTGAGACTACAATAGATTTGAGTCCTTACTTCTTTGTGATTTAAGAACTCGAAAATATTGTTCTTATTAGAAATAATGGTATTAATGCTATTGAGAAGGGGAAAACTTGGCCTACGGTCATTGGTATTGGTTAAAAGTGTTTTGAAACAGAATGATTATTTTCATGAGGAATCGGAGAGGCTCTAGTTGTTCCTCGTAAGGAACCAGAGGGCTCTGGTTGATTCTCATCATTGGACCAGAGGATTTGGTTATTGATTTGAAGGATTGGCAAATTTTTATTAAAATGTATTAGATGTGTTGTATCTTTTGTTAAGTGTTTTCATGACAAAAATCATATTTTAAATATTTAAGAAAAGAATTTTATACTTAGTTTTTTTTTTGAAAAACAGACCAGTGAAGCTCTGGTTAAGTGTTGAACCAGAGGGGCTCTGGTTGGACATGTATTTTGAACCAGAAGCTCTGGTAGTACAACCAGAGGCTCTGGTTGAACATGAAGTTTTTATAAATTACTCGTTTTATGTAAAAGGTTTTTTCTTATTGATTGAGAGTTTTCTAAAGATCATTTATATTAGTGAAGTTTTGGTTAGATCGACCAGAGGCTCTGGTCATGAAGAGCAGAAGCTCTGGTAGAGAGACCAGAGGGGCWCTGGTCCTGTTTCGAAATATTTTCTAAGTCTGGTTGGTTCAACCAGCGGCTTTGGTTGTGAAGAGGCTCTGGTCGAGGAACCAGAAGCTCTGTAAGAGAGACCAGAGGGGCTCTAATCAAGAATGTTTAAAATATTTTCTAAGTGTTGTTTGAGACCGGAGGCCCGATGGACTAAAGCAGTATGTTTTCAGTTTTGCTTCATAAGATGTTTGATTTGAAATAAATGTTTTGGTGATCTTCACCCTGCATTACATAGAGGGGAATCTCACTAGACATTCATGTCTAATCCTCATTTTCGTGTTTCCAAAATTATGTGTGCAGGTAATGATAAGGGAAAGAATATAATGTGAATTACTTCCCTATGTGCTTAGCCATATTTGGAAGCATAGATGATAGGTTGCAAGAGTTTGTGCTTTTGGAATTTTTGAGCTGTGTACTTTATATTATAGACTCTTGTATCGAGGACCTATGTGGGGAAAACATGTATTATGTATATGAAATATGTGTTATATGCAATGTGTGGATTTGGGGTGTAACATTCAAAGATGCGATGGAAAGAGCATCCTCATCGATCCTCTGGACAAGCAACACTTTGAAGATTTTCCAGCACTTCATCCAAGCATGCAATGAAGATTTGAAGATAAGGATATCATGAATGACAGCTGGAGATGACAAATCAACAGCTGGAATTCAAGTTTATCTTATTATTAATGTTTATCCATGAGAAAGAAAAACTCTATCTATTAGCTAGACGATTTGCTAGAAAGTAGTATTAGATAGTTATCTTCTTAATAGTCGTTTAGTATAAATAGATGATTAGGTCTATTGTAAAAATAGGGCTTTTACTCATTGTTTTACGTTTATGAATCAATAAAGTAAGACCTTTGAAGCTCAAAATTGTTCTTAAACTTTCTTATTTTATTCTTGAGACTTCATAACTTTCTTCATTAAATTGCTATAATTTGGTTATTCATAACTAGATTATTAGTATTATTGAGAGATCTGTACAGACTTGGCCGGACTTCATCTCCGGTCAGGCTTTGACCGATTTACTAATCCGGACAACTCCCTCTCAAGCTCTGTCCGATTTAACATTTAAGAGAATTCCAACACTTTTGTCCAGATAACAAGTCCGGACATCACATGGTCGTATTCATACTTCTCCGTTCAAAACATAAACTCAATATTTATAAATCGCTTAACACTTGACCGGTTTAAGGCTAAACCGCTTATGCCTGGATCGGTTTAAGTTCAATCCGGACAACACTCATCAAGCAGTTTATTTATAAATCGCTTAAGCCTTAACCGGTTTAGGGCTTAAATCGCCTAACCCTTGTCCGGTTTAAGGATAAACCGCTTGACTCTTAGCCGGTTTAAGTCTAATCCACACAACACCTCAATGGTTAACTTTTAAATCAGATGAAAAAGCTATACAATCAATTATACAACTATAAACAATTTAAAAGCAATTCAAACCACTCACCTTAAATTTCTTTTGAAACCAATTTGATTTTACTTTGCTCCAAAAAGAATCCGCTCAACCTCCTTTCTCTTTAAATCGCTCAACTTATTTCAAAGATGACAGGAGAATAGAATGAATGTCAAACCCTCCTTTTATACTTTCCCTTTAGGGAAAGTCGGCTACTACAGCCGTACACCATATACATGCCTTCATAAATAAACAAATACCCACACTCATGCATACATGCATGCATATCACATATATATATATATATATCCATATATTTGATGCATACCCATTTATACAAATAATTTCACATTTTATTTACCTCAGGTGATAACTAAGATCCAGTTATCACAGTACCCAAGTTCGCCCTTGAAAGCACATTATGTGACATCCGTCATTTTTGAGCTTCAGGTTAGCTCCTTTATAGGGATTCTATATTTAGAATATTATTTTATTAGGATCTAGTCATGATGATTAAAATTCATCTGGCTTAATTCCCAAGTTATAGTTCAGATAACCTTGTTTCGACAGGTAATTGATATAATTAACTTATGTAATGTCAAATATATTAAAAATGCTCCAATAAAAATAAAGTTGATATTATAAAATCCAAATTTAAAAATACAAAAGTCTCATTTGAATGTCCAAATAATTTTATCAAAAGGTGGAGCTTTATATTAATATGTCATTTTTAATAATGTTTGGCAAATTGTATTTTGATTATAAATTAATTGGGCTTATTTATGTTTAAAAGAAAAATAAAAGTTTTATTGGGCTTGGGCCTTTAGAGGCCAGCCCATTTTCTTCTTTAACATCCACATATAAATACCCCACATCCTTTGAAACTCTCATTTTCAATTATCATTCTGCTTAAACCTTTCCCTCTCCCTAATCTCGCTCTCTCTCTAAATCAAACCCCCTCCAGCCGATTTCATCATCAAAGTACCTTTAGGAAATTTGTCAATCTTGAAGAAATTTTCAAGATTTCAAGAAAAAGTTATTATACTAGCTATCTTACCCATATTAAATATCACAAATTCCTATTTATTCTACTCATACTTCTTGTTCTTGAAAATAAAGTTTCTGGAGATCTCAAAAGGGGAGATTGTACATCCAAGACATGACATTGTCTTCAAATGATGGTAATCTATGAACCACGAACTTTGAACTATAAGAAAGTAGGAGAAAACCCATTGCATGTGGAATTTAATCATGAAAAGATATATTTTGAAATCTGGCAGAATCTTGCATGCATCTCAAATCGGTTTTATCTTCCTCAAAACTCAATGGAATTGGGTAATTCTTTTTCTGGAGGTTAGCCTTATTTGGTAGCTTTAAAATGGAGTTAAAATCTTTGAAAAAATGATGAGTTTAGACCCCCCAAATGACCGTCACTCGAAGAGCGTGCAATCTGTCTTGGGGACTGTGTCACTCAAGGTTGTAGGGTATTAATGAGTGCCTTAATCCCATTCAAAATTCTTGATATTTGGGAAAAGTCTGCCTAACTCATTATTTTGGATGATATAAAAAGTTGGACATAAAATGACTTTTGGAAGGTTCCTTTTTCAGTGATTGGTGAGACCAAAAATACCAAAAAACAGAATTTATATTATGTCCAAATAGCAGCTTTTATGCAAAGGACCTTGATTTTGACATATATAATTTTTGGTCTATTTTTAGAACAAATAATAAAAGTATCAACTTTAATTCATAAAAACCGTTGGCATTACATAAGATATAATTTAGCTTTATCTTTAGCAAGACTCGTTAGCTGATCCAATTATTGGATTTGGACTGTCTAGGAAGGTTAGGGCGGGCGTTGAGTGCTTCAAACGTCATCTCCTTGGATATTCATCGTCAAATCTATGAGTTTTCAGGGGCCCACTTTTAATGCTTTTATTTATTTAAATTGGGGGAAAAGCATGAAATTATGCAAATTATACTGTTATTTATAAAACTGTTGGACTAAATCGAGTCCTTGTGAATGGGCGGAGCCATGTGCTATTATTTTACGACGGTAGGGTTCATTAGAACCATATAAACCGACACCCAGAACTCCCATTAAGGAGGCCTTATAGTAGCACGGACTTATTTTTCTTTCTAGGTCATGCGAAGGGGGCCAGTCCAAGATCGTATTGTTCCTCTACAAAGACAACAGACGCTCTGTTTAGTCAAAGATTGTTATTACCTGGACTAAAGAACTGTTTAGTCAAAGATTGTTTATACSTGGACTAAAGAACTGTTTAGTCAAAAATTTGTTTATGTCATGAAATATTAACTGTTTTGCACTATGATATAAATGCTAAATTGATGTACTTGGGAGTATGTTTCCAAATAAAGTCCCCGTCCGTAAACGCTACTTGTTAACTCGGGCATGTCTCCGGGCCGTGTTAATTGTGGATCGTCGCTATTGTATTGACAGTCCCACCTAGAAAGGGGTGCACATTACCTATGTTTTCTTAGTCTAATCATGTGGAATTTGGACCACCGCTGAATTAGTACTACTACAAACCATGGGACCTAAGTGAGTGTATGGGCTACTTATGGTCGTTCGTAAGATAATGGGGCACATTGGTCAGGAAAGGCTCAGTAGCATCTCAAGTTTTAAAACATCGTGGTAGATTTACATTTATTAAGTGCAAAAGTTATGTATAGGTTTGCAAGAAATGATTTATGCATTGTAATGTTTTGTGCATATGAAAACCCGTGAACTCACCAACTCTTTGTAGTTGATCTTGTTTTATGTTTCATGCTTTTCAGGAAATAAGTAAGATTTGAAGTTTTTGGGAGCATACTTGTGGCGATACCGATTAAGTTCACGTTTGAAATTTTTGTAAAGAAGTATTCTATCCCATTTTGGTTATGGAAGTTAAACTTGATCTATTTTTGTAAAACTTGAATGGTGTTATTTATTATTGTGACAGCCGTCAAATTCGAACTTCCATGTTAGCTCTTATTAAGTTTATATTAGTGTTATTGAAGTTAATTTATAGATTAGGAGTTAGTTAGATTAATTTAGTTGAGAAATTTTAAGAATTTCCGGTAGTTGCTTAGAAAGTCCGGTTCCGGTCCGAAATTATCCGAAATGTC